TACGCAAAAAGTATGTAAGCCAACTATTTTGAGCTTCATGCCTTAATATTACCATTTTAGATAGCCATTTTCTGATTTGCCCATTGCTGTTAAATCAGTACTCTAAGGGAACAGGCATATTCCTTTTGCTGAAGAATCTTCTGTTAAGTTTGGAAATTTTGACCATCTGCATCCACAAGCAAAGTCCATCCATTCCATAGCAAGCCATCAGATTGTAGCAATCAACACCAGCTCACAGCATGGACTTCTTTTCTTCATCTGGTTGGGTTCTAGTCACTTCAACCCGAGCTGTCCATAGCTTAGTCCAAATGGACATTAGCAGCAAACTCAGGAGTCCACTCTTATGCCTGCTTTCCAGACTGGCTGATCTCTTTACTCAGCCTTAGCCTCTCTAAGAGGCCAATTCAACAAGCTAAGGGTCCTCCTGGCTCCCTGATCTTCACTGGCTTCCAACTTTAAGGGAAAAAATAGCCATATCTTCTCTTTCACACGAAGCACTGGTGGCTGAGTGGAAAGAAATTGTACTTCCAGTACAAAGGTATGCGGTTCAAATCCACCAGGTGCTCTACAGGAGAAGATGGCTAATCTCCTCCCGTGCAATTTATTGCCTCTGGAAACCCATTGGAGGGTCAGCTATGGGTCGTTTCCACCTTGATGGTATACAACAACAACAACATTTTTAATAAAATAATTAGTGGGTTTGAACTTCAAAAGGCCTTTCAATTAGAAAGGTCACCAGTGGAGCGCTTAACAATTGCACCACCAGGGACCGTTATAAAGCCTCATTAGTGTCATTTAAATAAAGACATGAAGGACACAAGGGAACCAATTATAAGGATGTCTGGAGGAACACTTCCAGGCAGAGCAGAGCACGCCAGAGCAGCCAGAACAACAGCTATTCCTTGAGGAGGGAAGAGACTGGCATTTTTTAATGCGATTACCACAACACTGAGGACTGGTTATGGAAGACAAGGATGAAAGCAGATGTGCTTTACATCCCTGTTGTGCACACTATTTTGTTACAAGTTATATTGATACTTTGACAATTTATTGAGTAAATTAGATAGTCTGAAAGCCAAGCTCTTAGAGAAAGGAGGGTCATGAAATGACACAGAAAAAGTAGTGCTTGGGGCTGAAGAAGCAGAGCATCTACTTAATGAGCACAACCTATTAGCAGCTTTTAAATTCCTTACTTCCTTTAGCTATTGGAAGAATTCTAGAGTAGATACTACTTTGCATATGAATACACAAGGACTAGAAAATTAACTACCTGCTCCAAGTCTCCTTGCCAGCATGGAGCCTAGACTTACACTGAGAACAGTCTGACTCCCAAAACCATGGGCGTTGCACTCTGCCACACTGTCTAGTTTTCATGACAGAACAAAGGTCAGAGAAGGATTATGAGGTATTGGTGTGAAGCTAAGAAGGTGGAAGTGAGAATAGGAGGATGTTCTGTAACCAGATTTTTGTATTCTCTCAAGGTATGTTTGATTTCTATTTCTAGTAACCGTGAATCTTTTTATATACCAATCACCTGGGCCATTAAACTGCATATTTACATACCACACATATTTTGAGATTTCAAGGCTCAAAGTTGGCAAAGTTTGCGCATAAACCCCTTAACCACTTGATGTGAGTAGAAATTTGGATTCACAACCAAATGTTTCTATGCAGTTGTTCAATAAGCTACCTGATTATGCAGACTAGAATCTTACAATATTTGTCTTTTAATATCCAAACATGAACAGCATTCAAGCTATGTTTACGTGCGCGCGTGTGTGTGTGTGTGTGTTGTTAGGTGCCTCTGAGTCAGTTCCTAACTCACGGTGACCCGTATGTCACAGACTAGAAACGCTCCATAGGATTTCATAGGCTGTGATCTTAATGAAGGTAGTTTGCTAAAACTTTCGTCTGCAGAGTTCAAACTGTCCACTTTTAAATTAGCAGCTAACTGCAAACCACTCTTCCACTCAGATTATACAGAAAGACAGAATAAACTAACAGAAAGAGATTAAAAGAAACAAGCTAAGCAGCAAAACTCTTAGGCAACAAGTCTTTTCAATCTACAGTCCATACTTGGGAGTGTGGTGTACTGAGATAGTTTATATTATAGTGCTTAAATTGCTGCAGCTATTAGTTCACAGTTGTTATTAGATCACAGCAATTAAAAAAATTTTGTTGATTCCACTCCTGCCCTTCAGCAGGAGCTTGAGTACTTACGTCTCACTTTTTATTATATATAATGTGGAAAATTAAGAAAGCCATCTACAGTTTCCTTATCATTTTCATTTTTGTCTATACCAAATTAAATATATTTCCCCCCAGCCCTCCGTCCTCAAATGTCCTAAATGTGTATCCATGGCTACTTTTGGCTTGCATCCCTATTGCCCCCCAATCTTCCCTCAGGATGTCACAAGAACCAGCCATTTCCAGAAGTGTAATGATAAGAGAGAAACGGTTATCTGGCCATAGATAGCAAGGACTGTGAGTCAGGAACATAGGGTTATTTAGTTCCCATCTCTTTGATTGACTTTTCTGTGACCTTCTGCTGTTAACACCTGCCTCCACAGGTGTGCTCAAAGCTTTAATTAATATTTGTAAATCTCTCTCACTGCCACAGATAGAAGATAGCAGAAAAGGGCAAATTATTATTAATCATGGGGGAAAAACACACAGATTAAATTTTGCTCCTTCACTAGAGACTACACCCACTCACACTGTTTTTACATTAGAGGAACAAGATGTAAATCTTGATTTACTTATTTCTTTACTTCTGAAAACATTCGATGCCTGTTAATACAGAGCTCCTGCCCTCTGCTCTGGCTAGTGCTCAATATGCACTGCCTTTGACTCCTAATGCTTTTAAAGTTATTACCAAAAGGAGTCTTGCTATTCACAATGAGTGTGAGAGTTCATCTAATTAGCTGATTTCAGTTCATTTGGCATTAAATAATTGCCCAAATTCCCATATGTTTGAACAATATGTTCAACAAGGGGGATGATTCACTAAAAGCAATTAAATAGTTCTTTTAGGAGAGCTTGTCATCGGTCACTTATAAGCATCCCTGCTATTCCTGCCCGTGATGAATGCAGGAGGCAATTACACGAGATGCGCTTAACCCTCTCTAATGTCTGCTGGCAAGCATCCACAGGAGGACTGCCACTCCGAGCTGGGTTTAGCTCACAATTACTTCCCCCCAAAACCTCTAGCATATTGTCCTAAGCCTGCAAAGAATATTTGCTATTGCTAATGCATTACTTTCCAAGTAATGAGTTCTTGTTTATGAGAATTTTTCAAATTTGTAGTATGGCTAATTTGATGCAAGGATAAATATTTTGGAAGGCATCTCCAGTGCTGATTTCATAAGAAGGAAAAATGGTGTGAAAAAACTCAAATCTCTTTTAGATGGTTGTTGTTGTTGTTGCTGCTGAGTACTGTTGAGTCAGATCATACCCAAGGCTGACCCTCCAGTGGGTTTTCAGACGTGATTAATCCCATAGGTGGAGATTGCACATCCTTCTCCCATGGGAGTAGCTGGTGCATTCGAATCACATGCATAAAGATTGCAGTACAGGTTCCTACCACTAGACCACCAGAGCTCACTGTGTTAGATAAAGTCGATGTCACATGCCCTTGTTCAATTATATACCTTAGATTTGTCATAGTTGCATCTTCTGGGCAAAGAGTAAAATGTGACTGTTGCTGACCTCACAAAGAATGGAAGATATAAAATAATAATTTAGACATTAATAGTGTGTTAAATGCAGTCATAGAAAAAGTTTTATACAAAATCATGGAAAAATGGTATGTGGTACTCATTTTGCAGCCCATATATTTGCCTTCTGATCAGGGTTGACATTTAAATATCCCTCTTATATGTGAGTGAATGCTTCCGTGATAATATGAATCCTGTCTCTCACGTAGCAGTGTTCATGTGGAAGTCCTAAATTATTCCTTCAAGGCCACATGCTTAGCTGGCAAATAAAATGTAGACTTCGGGCTTCTTCTTAATTACTGCTGCCCTGAAATATACTCTTACTCTTGTATTATTTGGAAACAGAGATTAAAAATCATGAGAAAATATGAAAAAGGTCAAAATAGGAATTGTTTTTCTTACATATACACTTACTACAATGCAAAACCCAAAACCGAAACCAACCAACAAACTAACCAAAACCAACCACACACACATGAACACATATGAATAACTGACTGGCATTTTTATCTCCCTTTAATCAAATTTCATTTTCTTTTATCTGTATCACGACTCTTCATTCTCATTTTAAATAGTTAAAGGTACAGAAATATCTGAACACAAAGCTTGAGTGAAACGATTTAAATGTATATCTGTATTGGAAAAGAGTTGAAAGATATTTCTGTGCTTGATTATGTACATATAGAATTGTCTACAGTGCTGTCATTATATAACTATCTACTTGGGTATTGGCAGAGGAGAAATGTTTTCAAAACCAAAATAGACATACTCAATCTGGGTGTGTTTGAAGTGCTGTTCTGTTCCACAGTAATTTGTTTTGTCAATTACTGGTATTGGGAATACTGCAGAATGTGTTGTTAAGGGAAAGGAAGCTGATGGTAAGATTACTAGATCAGTCATCTCTATAAATTTTTCATCTTCTGACACAGTACATTATCAACTAGTATGCAGATTCAACAGCTGTTAAGTCACACACGAGCAAGGCTGTGAGTTCGTCAGTTCTTTTTTGTTTCTAGAGAAATGTTTTGTTGATATGCTAAAATTTAGGCTAGTAATCTAGGATAAAGTCAGTCCATGTGCTCGAGCCTCTCGTGATAACTATCCTTTCACTGACAAGCTACCGTCATCTGGAGCAATCTTCATCTGCGTGCGACTGTCAAGAGGGGGTTCTGAAAGGGAACTTATTTCCCGCCTAGGTAAAATCCAGTATGCAGCTCAAGTTTCCCTTAAATATGCCACCTCTTTACATATATTTCCCCCCTTTGCTTCTTTCCTATTGTAAAGCCTCCAGTCTGATGGATCTGAAGTGCTTCTGAGTCCTGAAGTCACCTGTGGTCCCCCAGACATGATTGTTACCACTCCCTTTGCATTGACCATACCACACTGTGCTGATGTCAGTTCTGAGCACTGGAATATCCATTTAAAGAAGAGGACACAGCAGGGCAAGTGGGAGGTGAGACCTAATTCTTACTATTTTTTTTTAAATTGAGATTTGAGTTCCAACAATGGGACAGATTTAACTTTACTTTGTCTTAACACAGTGAATCAGCTTTGAAAATTTTAAGCATTTTCTTATCTTGTAGAGGTCTGCTGCCATGTGCCTCACAACATCTCTAAAGTATTGGCTCTTTTATATCCCATGATGGTGAAAAAGAGAAGTAAGAGATGATCCAGAGATTTTTGTATGTGATTTTCGAATAAAATCATCATTACACAAACTGACATGAACACTTATTCCTCTGCTCAGTGGTTTACCTTCTTTCCTTCAGGCCATGTTCCTTTCTGAATCAACTTTACTCCATGGCCTTCGTAGTGGAGGAAAAAAGTTTTCGGGAAGGCAAGCTGTATTTAGAAAAGAAAACACAACACCTGATTTATGCTGTTTGTGTTTTTCCATCATGGATATTATATCTAGATTTAAGTATTCATGGACGCAGTAGGTGCTAAATTGATGTTGGGTGAATGAATCACCATACTGAAAGGAATTCCGAATGCCTCATACCTTGTGTGTAGGAGCACATGTAAAAGATAGAGTACAAGGAGAGAACAAGAGAGAGAGAGACAAGAGAGGAAAATGAAGATACATAATAGGAGGCTAACAACAAGGGGAGCAGTCACAGCAAAGACAGATTGCAGCTGAATTACTACTTTAAGTGAAAGCTCTGATTTATCTGTTTGATAGGGATTCCTTTTATGTCCATCTGAAGTCAGTTTGTATGAAAGCAGGTGAATTATCTTGTTGGAACACAGTGACCTGTTTCAGCTGGCCCTGGGATCATGCTTCCCAGGAGATGCTGCAGGCAAAAGAGTAGAAGGCGAATCATGCTTTCTTTAAAAAGGAAAATCTACAGTTACTGCAATGGATTACATACACCCTGGACATCTGTGTCTTAAAGCTAGTCCATTTTCTTTGTTCCAATATGCCGGCTGCTATCTTTTCATTTCTATTGCAACAAAAAGCAAATTTCCTTGAGTGTCAGGGTCCATGGACTTTGTAACAGGGCCATATTTTCGTCTCATTTTCATTACATTTTGCTTTGCCTTGGTTCATACCACTTTTATTTATCTTCTCAGCACTTTCTCACTATCTTTTAAGTCCAAATCGTATTATATCAGTGCACTATCAAACCAGTCACGTAGGCCTAAATTTTCATCAGGAAAGGTAAGATATTATAGATTATGTCTAAAATAGTTATTTATGTAATGTTCTCTTATGAGTGATTCTAGAAGAAGGAAATCAGATAAAATATTATAACAAGCATTAGAATTATTTTAAGGATATTGACTAATGTTTTCAAAAGTGGACTTTTTTATAAAACATAAGAGTTGGCACATTGAGATTAGTATAAAAAAGTCTTTTTAAACTTGAAATCTTATAAATTAATTAGAAATAGGAGTAAATTCAAAGAAATTTCTATTAAATTAGGAGCATTCTAACATATAGAATCTAACTTGTTTCTTGAGTTGCTGTATTAAACAAATATGTTATAGAAGATTATCTTACATTAATATAGTTGAGATGATAAAGTATGTTGGAAACATTTATCTTTATATACATACTTGTCTGACTTTGCAAATTGTTACATCATATATTATTTGTTCTGAGAAAGCTTATGTGTCTTTCTCTCAACAGGAAGTGATGTCAGTAGAAGATGAGTCTACATCTTGTTACTGTCTTTTGGACCCATATGCCTGTCATGTGCTCCTAGACAGTTTTGGGACATATGCGCTCACTGGAGAACCAATCACAGATTGCGCTGTGAAGCAGCTCAAGGTGGCAGTTTTTGGCTGCATGTCTTGTAACTCCTTGGATTACAATTTGAGAGTGTATTGTGTGGACAATACTCCTTGGGCATTTCAGGTCAGTTCTTTTTTTAAAATTTTTTTTATTTTGTTAGTGTCTTAGAAACATGGAGCTCCCTAAAGATTAGTAGCCGCAATAGAGAATTCTATTGTTGGGTTTCTGGGAAATGAATGCAAGCAATTGGCTTAACTAAAGTACTAACCTTGAGGGAAGAGCCATGTTACTGGTGTCCAGCACTGTGCTGAGTTATGTGGTGGTGAAGCAGTTGACATTCATGTGGATGTTGTTGTTGTTGTTATGTGCCGTCGATTTGCCTGCGACTTTGTGTATGAGAGCTCTGAAGCCTGTCCTGTCCTGAGCCATTCTCACTGCCTCTGATACACGTATGCTCATTACCCCAGTTACTACTTTAACAATCCATCTCATGGGGTCTTCTCATGAGTGTCAGGGTGTCCTTTTTCAAGGACTAATGCCCAAAGTCTGTGAGACAGAGCTTCAAAATCCTAGCCTCCAAGGAGAAACTTGGTTTCCCCCACTCCAAGACAGACCTATTTGCTTAGAATGGTTCAATTAACACATATGGAGCGCATTGTATGCTTAAGTTCTAAAACTGACAATGAGTATAAGCAAGTGTTCAGAAAACAGAAACTTAGCTTGAGTTACAGAAGAATTTTGGTGCACTTTTTGTGAACCCAGATAGGTGAATAAGATTTAAGATGACAAGAGAAAGGGATACTATATCAAGAAAGGAAAATGGTATGAGCCCCAGGAAGAGCAAGAGTTATTTGATGTACAGAGGGCAGTGAGAAAATAGCTTGAATCAACTGAAGGTTGTAGTTAGAGAATAACATTTATAAATTATACCTATCACCAAGCAGTCATATTATATCGTGGCTATATAGTCTATTAATTGTCTGGGCTACTAGGGCAGTGATGGTTCAACGTACTTTTTTACTTTAGGGACTTTTAATAATGTAAGATTCATTTTAAATTAGCTACTCACAAAGAGTATGAGTTTATTAATAGCAACAAGGATAATGGAGAAGTGCCTGTGTAAGCTCAACTCATGTATAAATAGCAGAGCTCTCCTGACACACCTCATTCCAGATCCCTGCTATTCCAGTCCTGGATCATTAAGTCTATTATGCCGAGCATCTTCTTGGTAACTAGCTTTTAAGACACCAAGCTGGAAAATGCCTGCTACCAAGAGAAAGACAAAGTGACCTGGATCCTGAACACAAGCCTGTGAAGGTGACACTGCGCTAGTCTATGTTCCCAGAGCTGCCCTCATTGATTCTTGAACACGCAGGCCGGACAAAGCACAACCTTCGTCTGTGGCTGCTCAGAGCAAGCGCTTTGTCAGGCAGAGTGCTGTTTTGTTGAGGAAAGAAGCTCCTGGAAGTAGTTAAACCACATGATTTGGCTACCATATTCTTCTTTATATATATTTTCATCACTCAATAAAAGGGTTCTTACACACCCCCCGCTAAAACGAGCAACAACCCACATAAAAACATTCACTAAACAAACAGAAAAATGGCATATAGTTATAACGTATTGTTGTAACTATATAGATATAAATTATGTAGATGTAACTTGTATAGATATAGATGTAACACATATATGTAACATGTATATATGTATGTATATAAATGCAATAATGGTTACCCATGTGGACAGTGTTTGGTGGAGCTCCCCCGATTAAAACAAGCTTGGAAGCAGGAGTGGTATCCACTTCTGAAGTAGCTTGCCTCCAGACACTCTATGAACTTGGAGAAACGACGAAAGTTATACTATACATGTGTTCAGGTCTTTTGTTGATAGGGTAGCTATGAGTGTCTACTCCAGGGCACTTAACAACAATAACAACAACATAGATGTTTATTGTGTATATACATTGTTGCTGTTGTTATGTGTTGTAGAGTCTGAACCCTGCCCTGTCCTAAGCCAGTCTCATTGATTCTGACACACCTACCTGCATTGCCCCTGTTAATGTATCAATCCATCTCATCCGGTTTTTTCCTCTCCTGCACTGTCCCTCCAGCCTTCTGAGCATGATGTCCTTCTCCAAGGTCTGATTCCTCCTGGTCACATGCCCAAAGAATATGAAATGAAACTTAAAAATCCTAATCTCTAAGAAAATACTTGGTTTCACTCTCTCCAAGATAGACCTATTTGTTCTCTTGGTGGTCTATGGTATGTTCAAGACTCATCTCCAGAACTGCAACTCAAAAGTGCTGATTCTTCTTCCATCATCCTTAGTCATTGTTTCGCTCTCTGAAGTGTAGTCAGTGATTGTGCAAACTAGCATGATTTGGTTCAGGTGCACCTTAGTCTCTAGATTGACATCATTGCTTCTCAGTACTCTGGTGAGGTCCCTGACAGCATATTTTCCCAGTGCAATTCATCTTGATTTTCTAACTGAGTGCTGGTGCCAAGAATGTTGATTGTTAAGCAAAGATATTGTGATTGTTAACAACCTCAATTTCTTCTCCTTCTATTATGGTGCTGCCAACTGGCCCAGTGTGAGAATCTTTGTCTTCTTAATATTGAGCTTCAATCCATATTAGCTTACATAGTTGCCTAAAATGTTAATTATCAGTGACTTTCAGTTCATCTGGTATAACGCCTGTTGATTATTACCATACTCTATGGGAGCACAACTCTTTCCAAATAAATGAGTTATAGTGGATATAATCTTCTTTCATGCAATTAACTGCCTCTGAAAACCTGCTGTGGGCTGGTTCTGATTTGATGCTACACAACAACAATCATGCAAATAAAGCCCTAAATATATTTTGAAATTACTATTCACTCCTCTACTAATACATTCTACTTAGTCAATGCTATTTAAAATGTTATTCTCTCTTTAATTGAATCTGAGTACTTTTATTTGCAAAGCATCCTGATGGCATAGGGCATAATGCATTAGGCTACTTACAAAAGGTTGATGGCTTGAATCCACCAGTCTCTCCATGGTTGAAATTTTTCTAGAAATTTCCATCCATGGAAAGTCAATGAAGGTTGCTGTGAGCTGTTACTGACTCAATAGCAGTGATAAAATTTTTATTTCATTTTATTTATGGGTATTTATTAAACGATAAGACATTAATTTTGTGATAGAGTAATATTATTTAGTGATTTTTTTATCCCAATGTATTTACCTCCAGTAATTCTTCTTCTCTCTTCTTATGTCAGAGAGTTGATATCTAAAGTCAAATTTGGTTGTATTTGTGGTTGATACAGTGTATGTGACAGCTGTCCTGAGAAGCAAAAGCCACACTTCCCCTTGGGGTTCTGAGAGGTCATCAGCCAGTTGAATAACTTCTTGACCTACTGATAGATTTAAATGTAACTGGTAGCTTTTGTGAGCTGATATTTCCTACTCCAGAAAACAACAATTTACTCCTTGGTCTAAGGCACGTGTGCTTGCATGCGTGTATATGTGGTTTTTTTTTAGTTGTTGTTCTTGTTTCTTTACGAAAGAGCTTGGTTTCTGGATTTTTATCTTACTAATTGAATGTATTCAAAACCTTCCACACAGATTCATTTTAACCTGCTTTAAGGTCTCAAATATCTATATTGCATTTTTTTTTCTTGACTCTATGTATTGAATTTACTTAGAACGGAAGTTCCATAGTTATCAACAAACTGAAAAAAAAAAATCTCTAGGTGGTGAAGACATACAGTTAACAGTCTTGCCTGTTCACCGAAAGTTTAGAGTTTCTCATCAACTAAGCAATGCCTTGGAAGAAAGTCATAATGATCTAATTAAATATCAGCCATTGAAAACTCTGTGCAGTACTGTGACATGCATAGGTTCACCATGATGTTACTCCCTTTGTCTTCTTGATGTTAAGTTGCAATCCATATTGAAGGCTGTAGTCTTTGATCTTTAGCAGTATTTTGCTAGCAGATGATATTAATACTATAGTTTGATAATTTCCACATTCTTTTAACAATTATAGATCTTTTCAAGTCAGTTGGACAGTCAGCTGCCTCCAAATTTTTCTGCATAGAGTTGTGAGCATGTCCAAGGTTGCAAATGTTAGTTGAAAAATGTCAATCAGTATCTCATCTATTCCTGAAGTCTTATTTTTTTGCCGGTGTCTTCAGTACAACTTGAACTTCTTCCTTTGTTACTATTGGCTATTGTTCATATGGTGATCCTGAAATTTTTCAGTGTCGGCCACTTCTTTTTGGTATAGTGACTCTGTGTATTCCTTCTATCTTCTTTTAATGCTTCCTCAATCATTTGAGAGTTTTACCATGTCATCTTTCAGAATTGTAACTCAAGGCTTGAATTTGCTTTTTAGTTTTTTCAACTACATAAATGCTAAGTTCTTTCCTATTTATTATCTGACTCCAGATCTTTGTGTATTTTGTTATAGTATTTTACGTTATCTTCTCAAGCTGCCTTTTTAATCTTCTATTTAACTCTATTACTTCTATACCTCTTCGCCTCTTTTTATTTGCTTCTCAAATTTCTAATACAATTTCCTAGTTTCTTCTAACATTCATTTTGACTTTTTCTTTCTCCTCTGTGTAAAGACCTTATGGTCTCCTCATGGATGATGTCCTTGATTTCACTCCACAGCTTCTCTGGTCATTGATCACTAATGATTAATGCTTTAAACCTGTTCTTGACATAATTTTTTAATTCAGGTGGAATATGATCAAGGTCATATTTTACTTCTTGTGAAATTGGTTTCATCTTCTTCAGCTTTAATTTGAACTTTCATGTGAGTAATTTATGCTTTGTTTCATAGTGAGAACCAGGTTTGGTTCTGATTCCTGATATTGAGATTCTGTAATAATGAGGGTAGAGGTGTGTCAGAGACAGTAAAGTTGGCACGAGATAGAGCAGGTTTCAGGGCTGTTGTACATAGGGTCATTATGAGTCATAAGCTACCTGACTACGCAATTCTTTCTGCAGATATGTTGTTTTTGTTCTTGATTGCTGTCAAGTCGAGCAAGACTCATGGCTACCCTATGAACAAAGATCCTGAAGCATTTCTATAACTATCGTCATTTATCAAAGTTCATAGAATTTCCAG